TAGCGTGGAGGCGCCGCCGTTGGATAGGGCTATGTTGGCATCAAAAAATCACAGAGAGGCCGAGAAGAGGAGGAGGGAGCGAATAAAATCGCATCTTGATCGCCTTCGAACAATCTTGGCGTGTGATCCTAAGGTAAAATGATCAATATTATATTGTATTAGTGCAACCATCGAACTTATTTACATGTGAAGGATAATATGAACTAATTAAATGGTTTTTTTGTTCATGTTAAATTTGTATTTTACAATAATTTTTAGGACAAATTTCATCTAATATTTGGCTTTCCTCTTTACTTTGTAATTTATAAATCTCTAACTGGCTGAACCTTTGATATATTCAATCTTTGATCATGAATTTTACAAATTTTGTTTGGGTTGTTAAGTAAGTAAAGTAGAATTGTTTGTATGTGGAAGTGGAACGATTTGAGAATTGCCATGAGCATGCGGGTGAAAATACAGTGCAGACTTTGCTAAACCAATCATTTACTGTCAAGATTCTTGTTATAATGAAGCTTTTTTTTTTGTTTGCTCATTTGTTTGTTTCTTTATCTCTTTTTTTTTGGGTAAAATTTGTGGTTCTGTCGTGAAATATAAGCCTTCTAATTTAAGAAGCAGAAATTAGAAATAATCATTTATAGCTCATAATTCTAATTAGAGATCCAGGATTTTTCTATTGCAAAGGTTTGACACATAAAATTTCTGATGAAATATTTGTGATCTTAAGATTGTTAAATTTTTTGGGAAAGTTACCTGGCTTTCTCTACCCTTGTCAGTAAACTGCTTCTAACACACAGAGAATATAATGATCACGCTCATCCCTTTCCAAGTTAAGGGGGTTTTTTTTTTCCCCTTACCAACTTTATAGCTCCCATCATTAGGGTTAGGGTTTCTAATTAGTTCACTTTACTTCACTGCAGACAGACAAAGCATCACTCCTAGCTAAGGCGGTTGATCATGTGAGAGATCTCAGGCAACGAACGGCCGAGATCAGTGACACGCGTCTATTCCCCTCAGAGACTGACGAGATCATCGTACTCCCGGGCACGGACGGCCGTGTGCCAGTGTTCGAAGCCTCGGTGTGCTGCGACGACCGGATAGACCTCCTCCCCGAGATAATCGAGACCCTCCGATCGTTGAGAATGAGGACTCTGAGGGCTGAGATCGCGACACTTGGCGGCCGAGTGAGGAACGTTATGGTGCTTGCAAGGGAGAAGGAAGAGGAGGAGGAGGAGAGTGGGGATGTAGGGTTGTTGAAGGAGGCACTCGTGGCACTTGTTAATAGGTCGAGGTCGCCGGATCGAAGTAAACGGCGGCGGGTTATGGACCCCACAGAGGTGGCAATGGTATAGTACTAGTTAATTTCCTGTTTTTGGGTTTGAGTTTGAGTTTGTGTGCACTTTTGGTATTTCAAAGATTTGGTTTGTGAGTTTGGTTTGTGTGTGCATTAGGGTTAGGGTTTGAGAGTGCAATGGAGTAATAAGCACGTAAAATAATGGATTGTTTGACTGCTGTGAAGTTTTTACAGTGTGCTTGTGTTGTAGTTCAGATTTCTATATGGTTTGTAAATAAATTGGAGTGTATAGCTAGACATATGTGAACTAATATAGCTTTGGTAATTTTCTCCAAATATTTCTTGTTCAAATTGGCTAATTCTCCATCTTCTACATTTATATCTGGAACATTATGATGCATTCCAAATAATATATCATTATACATCTTGGATTGTATTCATTTTTAGTTTTTACTGAAGCATAACCATTCAATAAATAATAAATGGTTGTAACTGAAAATGCGGATTTCTCACTATCTATCTAAAACGTAATAATGACATACCAGATCCATGTTCAAATAGAGAAAAATTTCTTTACTTTATCAACTACAACGATTGCCTAAGACGAGAATATAGAAGCATGCAAGATTTGGATGCTAATTATTTTTTTGGTATTAGGTTGGATTTAGATTTTGATCCGATTAATTTCATGCATAGTGAGTGCTAGCTGTTCTCATATATATATATGCACATATTTTACAAGTGATAATAAGTTAATTAAATTTCTATAGAATTAATGAAGTGATCATGAGGTCCCTTGATTAGTTTGAATGGACTAGTTCAATTTTGATCAGCTATCTTTCATGGTTTTTCTCAAATGAAATATTTGTAGTATCGAAGGGCATATTACATAAATAACATGGATCAATACATTGATCTATTTGAACTTTTGATGCCTTCAAAAGTTTGCAATATACTTTCTTCGTTTGAGATTAAGTATTGAAGAGATTTAATATTGAAATCCAACACTACACATATTACCACAAAAAATTTAAGTCGTATAACTTAAATGTACTAATTTAGTTTTCATCCAAAGATTTACAATTAATCCTTTTGGTGCATGCTTTACAGCATGCGTGCATGCATGCATGAGTCATGACCGTAACGGTGGATCCTATCATGCAACAAAAACAGAGAAAAAAAAATCATGATACATTCAAAAGTGGAAAAGCAATTAAAAAAATAACAAAAAGGAGAAAAACATGAGCTAGTTGAAGATTGTGGAGAGTGGGGAAATGAACGTCAACAAAAGAAACTTTGTACGAGATTTGAAAAATGTTTATGCATCTTCAAGTAACTTGAGAATTGAAAAAGAGTACTTGAGCTCAAATACCACCAATTGAAATTATTCTCTCTTTATTTGAGCACATTTCTCCAAGTAAAAAGGATAATAGTTAAGCTTTGAGTACTTCTCTCCAAGGATTGCCTTTGAGCACCTTTTGTCCAAGATAAAAGCCTTAAAAGGATTTTTTGGAGCATTTCTCTCTGAGATTCAAAGGATTGTATATATTGGACTACTTCTCCAAGGTTACAAGGAATAATCTTGTCCCCGAGGTGCATGAGTGCCGACTCTATGATCACATGGACTTACATGGGGACTGGGTTCTATTTATACACTATACATATATAAGAATTCTAGGTTTTGTTAAAGTATTATATTTAGTAACTTTATATATATTTTCTTCACTTCTTGAAGAAATGTTAAAGAATAAAATTAATATAACCATCATCATAACTAATTTGGATTTTGTTTTGATATATTGGCATAGATCTTTAACATGATATATGAGCAAAACATGTTCAATTTTTACTGGTCATGAATTTAAAACAAATTTAAAAACATGATAGAGCTCCATGATTCCATGTTTCGACTGATGAAAGAGCACTCAATCTGTGAAAGACATGTCAGAATAGGAAATTATGAATTTTATGACAACTTCGGAGTTTTGATGTAATGACTTATAAGTTCACTAGTTTGAAGAGGACTAGTAGACAAGGTTACTAGAGGAGAACATATAGAAACACTTGTGTCTTCAATTTAGAAAGCAATTAAATCTGATAATTATGCGTATGAAATATGTAATTTATGACAAAAGTATCATTAAAAATATTTGGTTGACACAAGTCGGAAAAAATTGTTATCAACTTAACTAGATGAACTTCCTTTTCTTATTGAAGTATGGTATATATTTTCTCTTTTATCATGTTAACTATCAAAATTTATTTCAGTGTCTCGAACTATCCAAGTATTACTTCCTAATTTATTGTACAGACATTCTGCTTAAGTTTGATTCTTGGTAGCTGACATGTGCATCTCGTAAACATAGGCATCTAGCAATTTTAGAAATTGGATAGTCATATTTCTCTCTCTCTCTCTCTCTCTCTCTCTATATATATATATATATATATATATATATATATATATATATATATCAGAACGACGACGGCGTTCACCTCAAGACTGTGGGTGTGTTTTGGGGGTTTTGTAGAATATGTAGGATCAGAGTTCAACGGAGGGGAGTCATCCACAATGTGGTTCGCAATCGGATGTGATTTTAGAGGTGGTCATAGGAGGAAATCTTCCTGCCTATGACAAGGATACCCTTGAATCTCAGTAGTATATATGTGTGATAGTATATATAGTAGCTATATTAGGTGATATATATATATATATATACTATATGAGCTTATTATATATTAGTATAGTATGATAGTATAGCGTACGTAGGTATATCAGTATGGATGAGAAATGGGTGATGCTTGGTACCAAGGCTAAAAGTTGTGCGTTGGGTAGTGAGTGGCATAATTCATGGGCGCCACTCATTCAAATGATTGCAGGTATTCCATGCATTGCCTAACCCATGTTGAATGTGTGGTCCGCCCATTTGAATGGAGTGGAGGGGATTGTGTCGACGTCGACTACCAAACGAAAAATTTGTGCTGGTAGGTACCGAAGCAACCGGCAGTATTCCTATCTCTCTCTCTTATCAGTCTCTCTCTTCTTCAGTCTTCTTCTTCTCTCTTACGTTATATAGTAATGATAATATATATAGGTAGTAGTAGGTATAGGTTATATATATATATATATATTATATATATAATGCAAATCTGTACATCATAAATAATAGGTGTGCGTCGGGGGCTATTTCCTAGCATCATACCTTTGATGTTTATGTCAGTATCTTTTATTGGAGATTATCACTGATAAAAGCAAAGAGGGACATTGGGGAGACAATTTTTTTTTGTCAATGAAAAAGTTTTTTATTCATTAAAAAATGTGAAGTTGAATTACATCTCTTAGATTACAAACCGAGCCTGACATGGCTCTGGATGCTCAAGATAATCTTTCAATATATTCCTTTACATGAATTGGTAATTTCTCATTCAAAAGTTTAGTGAATATCGTAAACTTCAGTGCACAGAATAGTGTATTTGGGTCTCGTGCACGTTGTTGAAAAATCCTAAAGTTCCTTTCCTATCACAGCATATAGATCGACACTGACAATGCCATCTTTTTGAATTTAGCTTTAAAACCAGACCCTCTCAAGTTCATACTATACCAAGATGAAAGTTGATTCCAATTGCATGATTTTCAATTGAAACCAACCCAGTCCATCACTTTGTTCCAAACTATCGCTGAATATTGACAATCAAAGAAAAGGTGACTGCAGGTTTCTTTTTGGTTAGAAATTGAGCATAGCACACATTGATTTGAATTGAGGATCCTCATTCTGCACAATCTGTCTTGAGTTAGCAGCCTTGAGATCGAAGCTAACCACAAGATGAAAGAATGTTTAGGGTAGTGCCAACCACCCTATATAGTTCTTGATAAAGCTGTTGAATGCATTTGCTGATTTATCCTCCTGTACATTTTAGATATGCTGAATTTATCTCCAGCACTACAACTATTAATAACAGAGAAGAGGTTATCAATGTTACCAAGTTTCTCAGCTAACAAGTCCTTGACTTTTAGAATTTGTTTCCACATCCAAGAGTCACATTCTCTGCTCTGCACTTGCCATATGCTGTTCTGCCTCAAGTAGTTTCCATGTATCTATTTAATCCATAGTAAATTTTTTTTATGATGATTCATCCAGAGCAATTTAGCAGCAGATGCAAAATTCTAATTTTTAGCTGAATACACCCCCAAACTATCATGTTTGACATCCTGGCAAATAGTAGACCATGCCACCAAGTGAATTTCATGTGCCCATAGGAATTCAGCACACATCTTATCAATCTTCTTAAGCACTTTATTTGGTAATATATAAGTACTTGTCCAAAACATTTGAATCCCCAGAATAACTGACTTGATCAGTTGTAATCTCCCTGCATAGGATAGTGTTTTGTTATTCTGGTAGTTTTAAAACTGAGAGGAGATTTTGCTGATAAGAGAAGAACAATCAAGCCAAGATAGTCTCTTTGAGATGAGAGGAACTCCCATGTATCTCATAGGTAAGGCCCCTTCAGAGAAATTGAGATATGATCATATTTGAGTTTTTAAATCCTCTTCAATACCACTCAGATACAGTGAGCATTTAGCAGGGTTAGGTTCCAAGCCTGACACTTGACTAAACTCCTTGAGACACTCATTTAATCTTGAAATAGAGCTCATATCTGCTTTACCAAAAAGCAAAGGATCATCTGCAAAAATTAAATGTGAGATTTTCAATCTATTGCATTTAGGATGAAATTTATAGTTCCTGTCATCCTTGAGAGTATCCAGCTTCCTTGATAGATATTCCATGCCTATAACAAACAGATATGGAGACATATGGTCACCTTGCCTAAGTCTCGCACCTTGAAAGTATCCATGCAAAGTGCCATTGATTGACAGAGAGTATTTTGGAGTTAAAATACATTCTATTATCCAACCAATCATATTTTCAGGAAACCCTAAACCTGACAACAACTTCCTGAGGAATTGCCAGTGTATTGTGTCAAAAGCTTTTCTCAAGTCTATGTTTAAAATGGCTCTTGGAGAAGTCTTCTTTCTAGAGCAATGTTTGATGAGATCATAAGCTCGTAAAATGTTGCTGGAAATAAGCCTCCCTTTCACAAATGCACTTTGAGCATTACTAATCAAGCAGCCTATGATTTTTTGAATCCTAAATGCAATGATTTTTGAAATGATTTTGTAGACACAATTACAACAAATAATTGGCCTAAAATCTGTTGCATTTTGAGGATTGAGCACTTTAAGAATTAGGGTAATAGCTGTAGAGTTGAAGGTACCCAATAGCTTACCAGAAATAAAGAATTCCTCTATTGCTTCATAAAGATTATCTTCAATAATGTCCCAGAAAGCTTTGAAGAAATAAGCGCTGAAGCCATCTGGACCAAGACTTTTTTCATCAGGCATGGAGAAAACTGCATGTTTGATTTCAGGGGAAAAATGGTGTCTTACCGTCTTAAACTTGTTTATTGGGGGAAAAATGGACCAACATTAAATCTAATCGCGCAAAAAAAAAAAAAAACCATGTAGGACTTAAACTGATTTTGTTTGGCTAATGTCCGGCCTTAATCAATGCCAAGATTGTTCTACATATCCAGATCCAACTAAACTCGTTTATACCAAGACTACATTGGTGAATAATGTTAGTCAAAGTGAAATAGACCACTAGAAAGAGACTATCAAAAAGAGAGATGGTAAAAAAAAAAAATTTGGGGGGAGGGGGGACCACCATGAGCATATTGACCACCGGAGCATACAAAATCTTAAGCAGCAGTCAATGTATATAATGCTGATATCTTGCGCGTGCAGGATTGGACCACTGCCACTGCTCACAATCATCAAGTGCTGTTTGCATAGGAGATTAAAGTCATGAGAATGCAGCAAACAGGCTTTAGTACATACGTTATGTTTTCTGAACTCAGCTGTAGCTGACTCTAAGCGCGCTTGACTTTTAACACTACCTGCAGCGAGTACTTTTGGTGACGTGCAACTGATGTAGTAGCAGAAAGAGCCCTTGCTGTAAGTACTGCATGTGCTTTTATTTGGTTGGTAAAAGATTTGTATTGCAAATGAATTTGACATGAGAAGCTAGCTAGACTTCCAACATGACTCAAGAGAAACTTTGTAGTCCGTACGTAACTTATTTTTAGGTCAAGAAGACGAGCATGAGGCACTAGTAGCTAGGAAACAAACAATCACAGATATGTCCACAATGGGAGTATCACAGATGGTATATTAATTAAGGGAAAATTGCTTCCAGCCCCCAAAACAACCCAAAACATGCTCTGCCCCCCCCAAGACCTTTTCAACGTTCCTTTTACCCCCAAAACCGCCCCCGATTTTCTTCCAGCCCCCAAAACCAATCCCCAGGCGTAACGCCGTTTAAACCCCGCTCGAAATGCCCAAAATACCCTTACGTTTAAAATTCCCCGTTATGAGTTACCTCCTCGTCCGTACCCTGTCATCTCTCTCTTCTGCAAGCAAACGGACTCCAGAAACCCAATTCAAAACCCTAGCCCTAAATCAACCGACCCCAACTCAAACCGAATCAAAGCAAAGGGATCAAAATGGCCGGCGATTCAACCCCCAAAGCCAACCTCAATGCCGACCACAGCGAAAGCGATTACGCCCAGCGGTTCGAAATCTCAGAAAGAGCCCATACAACTGCAGTGCGGACTGAATCTGAAACTCAAGGTCTAGAGGGCAGCACCGGCACCACCGGCGCGTCCAACGATGCCACTAGAGCGCTTCTTGGTCTACAAGAGCAGCACGTGGCAGCACCCAAAAGGTAATTTTTACCGCAAGTTTTATGTTGTTAAGGTTACGATTTGATTGATAATGCTCTTAGTCTGGTGGGAAGGTCCAAAATTACGGTGTCTGTTAGCTGTTGAGGTTACTGTTAACATGCAAGGTCTATGCTTTTATTGCTGAGGTTGTTGTTTATTTGTAGAGGTTAGGCTTTGGTTGTTAAGGTTAGGTTTTGGTTGATAAGGTTGTGGGGTTGTTGTTAAGGTTGTTGGTTACTGCCTTTATTGTTAAGGTTGTTGTTTAGTTGTTGAGGTTAGGCTTTGGTTGTTAAGGTTAGGTTTTTGTTGTTAAGGTTATGTGGTTGCTGTTAAGGTTGTTGGTTTACCCGCAAAGTTTACAGCATAGCTGTTATGTTTACTGATTATACTCAAAAATGCTCTCGTCTTGTGTTTTTGTTTTGTAGAAAAAGGGCAAAGCCAGCTATTACGTTGCGGCCCACCGCCAGCTTCGGTGCCTATCACGACTTCATGCAGAATTTGGTGACGCGTATGGGGCCAAGGCATTTTGCGGCCTACGAAGATAGTGTATTCAGACACTACGTCCAATTTGGCCCACCTGGCGTCGATCTTCCCACCTTTGAGCACATTTTGAGTCAGTGGGACAAGAAGAGCAAAAAATTCGTCTTCACCGATAGGAATGATGGAGAAGAGATCCCATGCTCATTCAACCTTGAGTGGGTAATGGAGCATACATGGTTCTCCAATGAGGGGCTTCATGTTGACCACAATCGGGACAGGAAAAATAGGATTTGGTCCAGGTTCTTTGACAAACCCGAGGCGGGGGGTTCCAGCAGTATAGCTCCCCCCAAAGGAGGCCCCACCAGACGCAATGTGGAGGACCTGCTCTTGAAGCTGGTACTATCTTCTGATCGCCGAGATGTGAAGGACTTTGTCCTGCTACAGATCCTCTATCAGCTGAGCATGATTTGGTGTCCAAGCAGTGTTTCCGGCGTTCCTAGGCATTTATTCAAGTACGTCGACAGCATCGAACAGGTCAACAACACTGCTTGGGGGACCTATATATTCAGTGAGACATCTGACGCGATAGAGAGGGCACTGAAGGGTCCTGAGCCAGGGAAGACGACATTATATCTGCAAGGGTGTACCCCTCTAGTTTGTGTAAGTAATCATGTTTTTTACTGATTGTGAAGGTTAGGGTTTAGTTGTTAATGTTACAGTTTCGTTGTCAAGGTTACGGTTTGGTTGTTAATATTACGGTTTGGTTGTTAAGGTTACGTTTTTATTGTTAGGGTTACTTTATTAATTGTTACGGATGAAGGTGTTTGTTAAGTTTTTATATCTCTAATGTGCAGTTGTGGTATTATGAACTCACCGGCATCAAGAAGCCAGCACTTGGTTGTACGGTGAGGCCTCCCCTGACAAATTGGGTGAGACTTGGGCACGTTGCTGGTTCTTTGAGATTGGCCACTGTTGTTGCGAAAGCAAGCAAAGCTACGATAAAGCTTCCACAGCAACATGGACAACTTCAAAGAATCGAGGGAGGTTTTTGGGGGAAGGAGCAGGGGATAGAGAAAGAGAAGAGGAGAGAGAGAGAGAAGAGGAGGATTAAGGGTCCGGCTGCAGTAGACGCCGGCAGGGCTCGTGGCCCAATAGACCTTCTTCACAAGAAGAAGAGGAGAGCAGAAGATGACGACATCCCAATTGATGCACTTGTAAGAACTTAGCAATCGTTGATTTTATTTGTTTTTGAATTAATTAATCGCCAAGCAAAGGTATCCAGACCAACTCCACAATATCTTCCGTCGAATGTTTAATCGCCAAGCAGCTACCATGCTGAATGTTATCACTCAGCACCAACTCCGCTTCCGGGCATAGGTATCCAGACCATTTCTGACCCAATAGCCTCCTTTCATGCATGCGCTCCATTATTTGCTTCCGTATGGTCTCAACCAAAGGTAAGATTCGCAACAATCGTGCCTTTCTTATCCAGCTGTTGAAGGACTCAGCAACGTTTGAAGTAACATGGCCATACCTTAACAACAAAGCACTAACAATAACAATAATTCCTTAAACTAAACATTAAAGGCCTAACCTTAACAACAAATATCCTAAACTTAACAGCAAAACCCTAGCAGAATAACTCTAACCATAACAATAAAAATCTAACCTTAACAGAAAACTGTAGGATAACTCTAACCTTAACAACTATAACAGTGCTGTAACAAAATAACGTCGGGACCAAGCTATCTTACCTTATACCAGGAAAATGCGCGTTTGCCCATCTCTCCGGGGAGTATTCCATTACAGTGACATAAGCCCTGTGATCGATCGCTGCCAATTCTTTCATGTCATTATCCCATTCAGATATTGTGAACTTATAAGCCGCAGATTGTAACAGCTCGCCCAACGTAGTCGCGATATTTGCCTTGTGCCCAAAATCCTTCATCTTTTTTTTGAAATTCTCGACTAGATGCAGAACACACCTTGAATGGAATGCATCTGGAAAGAATTCCTCGACTGCTGCCCTGATACCCTTGTCGGCGTCTGAAATCATTACCAGTCGATGTGGAGGTTGGTAAGGATTTTCCCTATCATACAGTAACGTCCATAATCCTTGTAAGAACCATTTCCAGTTAACCTCATTCTCTTGGTCGCATACGCAATAAGCTAGGGGAAATATTCCCTGGTTGCCGTCATACCCAGTAGCGCTAAGTAGTATGCCTCTGTAACGATCTTTAATAAATGTTCCATCCAAAAACAATAGAGGCCTACACCCAGCAATGAACCCTTCAATACAGGCATTATAACTAATGAACAGTCGCCTGAACCTCCCGTCATCAGCATCAATAACAACACGACTCCCTGGATTAGTTGCATGCACCATGGATTCATACCTGCATGAATATAACAACAAAGCAGTACATTTAGCGAAGGATTCATAACCATAACAAATGATCTTCAAACTTCACGACCAACACGTATACTTAACGACGAACCAATAACTTTAACAACTAATACGTATAGTTAGCAACCAACACGTACACTTAACGTCGAACCGCCAACTTTAACAACTACTACGTATAGTTAGCAACCAAAAGGTAAGAGTGATTTCAGAAGAATAAAAAAGATAAGGACCATCTCAGTGAATCGTAAGCCTCATCATCGTCACCGAACAGGTCCTGTTGAGCTGTCTCCTTGCTCCACCACGCTTTACTGTAGTTAATCTTGATGCCAAAATTAGAGAGCATGTCGTTCTTGATATCGACCGCACGAAGATCTGGCCTAACCTTCAAAACAGCTTGTATTTGGCTAGCAATGAACTTCCTTGATGCCCTTGAGTTGCCAGCATTTGCTCCATGTTGACCGCAGGTGTGGGTAGACTCGAAATTCTTTATGGACATGATAGACGAATTTCTGAGCGGGGAAGCAAACAACATCCAAGGGCAACCATGTGTGTGTTTGAATCGGCAATAGACTCTTATGCGTCTTTGTTCATTGTGGTAAAAATCATACTCGAACCGTTTAGCAATTGAATAGTATTGAAGTGCTAATCTAACTTCACAGCACTAATCAAATTTCTGACCAACTTCACGTATGGAGGTGTGCCACTCAGTTGGGATCTTTGTTTGGTGATTAAGCATGTCTTCCAGCAGCATGATCGAGTCGCCGGTGGGGTTGTCATTAGGAATACGCTCATCATTACAGGTTTGGGTGAACGGGGTATCTGCGCACCGCGAATTTTCTGTCGGTATTGTCCTGAAGTATAAATCAAAATACATAGCCTTAGCAACGAACTGATAACCTTAACAACGAACTCATAAACGTAACAACCTACACATATCCTTAACAACTAACCCTTATACTTAAGGGCAGACTCGTGACCTTAACAACAAACGCATATACTTAACATCAAACACCATAACTTAGCAACCAACTAGTATACGTAACAGCCAACAAATAACTTTAACAACCAGTGCTTAACATAACCTTGACAGCCAACACATTACCAAAGCAACCAATGCATGAGGTTAACAACTAATGGCAAAACCTATCAGTGAACTCAAAAGGAAATCTGGAGTGTAATTCCTACGCAGTTTCCGGCGTAGTCTGCGTGTTCTGCGAAGTTGAGGATTCCGTAGCGGAGGTGGCATACAAATTCGCGTCTGTAAATCCATTACGCTGACAATACTCGAACATCAAATTTAAGTTGTCGTCATTGTCAATTGAAATGCTGAATTTCTTTTCCCTTTCGCATATGAACTTCAGTGAAAGAGATTGCATTGGTATTTTAAGCCTTTCCGCCACTCGATATTTCAAGCTGATTATTTCTGTATTCTCTTTGATAACGACGAATACACCGTCACCACCTTTGTTGCTTTTTGCCTTCGTTACCACGCATAGAAGAGATCCATCCGCCATTTTATTACAGGGAGTGGTTGAAGAATCGAAGAGGCTTTTATTGAGGATAATTAAGTGGAAGGAACAACTTAGCTTGAAGGGGGATATAGCTGGTGATAATATCTGATGATAATTTTGGAGGGAAATGGGAATTTCCCCCCCCAAAAAAGTCATTCATATCACCATTTAATGCCTACAGTCGAAACGATGGGTTTCCGTCGTGAGAGGGCGACGAACACATGCTGCGAAGGGTATTTTGGGCATTTCGAGCGGTGTTTAAACGGAAGGTGGCCTGGGGATTCGTTTTGGGGGCTGGAAGAAAATCGGGGGCGGTTTTGGGGGTAAAAGGCACGTTGAAAAGGTCTTGGGGGGGCAGAGCACGTTCTGTGTTGTTTTGGGGGCTGGAAGCAATTTTCCCTATTAATTAATTACAATTTATAAATTCATCAGACGAAAGTTTTCGTCTACGATAATGTTTATTGAATTTATCGAATATTTTAAAGAAACTTTTGTAGCTCATAACAAATTATGACGTCACTATGTTCACAAACTGAGAAGTACTGAAGAGATAACTTACTAGATGCCATATTATTGCTGGTGCTGCACTGAGATACATAGACACCAATCATGAGACAACTGTCGTTGAACATGACACAAAATATGAGAAGTGAATAAATAATTTAAATAAAATATTTAACTGGTTTCCTGTTGGAGTTATATAATAAAGATAACTTAAAACTTGGGCTTGTAGAGGAAAAGATGAAAAGTTTAGTCCCACATAGGAAATGAGATAGAAAAAAAAGGGTCTTTATAAGCCTTCCCTTTCTCTCCTATGCCTAGAAGAAAACAAAGGTTATGCTCCACCGGCTGTTTAACCCTATAAAAGGATCAAAACTCGAATAGTTTCATACAGTGAAAAAATCAACAGATCTCTTCTCTCCTTCTCTTTTCAAAATAGTTTTCTGTTTACGCTGGTTCCCTGAAAGTCTAGAAGAATTCGCAAAACCTTCTTGAAGTTCGTGCCGACGAGAAGGAGGTCGCACACGACCTGCGGACACGAATGCAGCTCCGGACTGAGGGGGCCCTTAATCAGCTAAATATAATTTTTATTTTTGAACAATTAACATGTGATAAATATTTTGTAACAGAAATATTTTGTAACGGCAAAAATTTATTAGTGTGATTAAAAACGTGATAAATATTTTGTGAATTTATTACGTAACGGAAGCGTTTTTTTAATTTTATAACGGCTAAGTTTTATTAACGTGATTAAAACGTATTAACTACGGGTTTATGTATAACGGCTGTTTAACCCTATAAAAGGATCAAAACTCGAATAGTTTCATACAGTGAAAAAATCAACAGATCTCTTCTCTCCTTCTCTTTTCAAAATAGTTTTCTGTTTACGCTGGTTCCCTGAAAGTCTAGAAGAATTCGCAAAACCTTCTTGAAGTTCGTGCCGACGAGAAGGAGGTCGCCTGACCAAGGGTCGTTGTATCTCCGGAAAATTTTGCCGCGTAGCCCTGTACGAGAGGGGGCAATTAGTTTCTTGGGACAGTGCTTGCACGCCTCGACCATCAGGCTATATTCTAAACTCAGTTTAAATTTATATCTATTTTGAATCATTATCTAATTCTGTTAAAACTGCATTTTGTGATAATTATACTCTAAACAGCTTATATTCCCAACATTTCCTACTGAGACACACAGAAACTATATATTCATGAACCAACTGCACTCTAATAGGAACCTGACTCAATATTCAGCTCACTACGTGCACTACTGTAACTACAATAAATTTTTTTATAAAACATTTATGTTTATTTTAGAAAATTGTTTACTTTTTATGAGATAAACTAACATTTTTGTTTTCTACTTTAATTTCTTTGGAACCATTTTCGCCTTAAAAATGTAGGCTTGTAAATCACATGATACGCAGGTGGTCTTGTTTGGTAAAAAATTTGAAAAAAAGAGAATGAAAATGTTAGTTGCCAAACTTCACAAGGGTCGAAATCTAGGTTTCACATAACTGCGACTACATAAAATTACGTCTTTAACGAAGAGATTTCTCATTGTTAATAAAGAGTCGAAAACCTTCGTAATTGTATGCCAACGACGGGAAAAAATCACTTTGTCGCCTGTCGTAGAAGCCTCCTTCGCTACAGCTTCACGACAGTTATAGGTCCCATCGTTATAGAGTCTACAACAACGGAACATATTATCGTTGTTCATCTCTATGATAGTAATTATCATCGTCGTTACCATTAGTGATAGGGACTTTTCCCGTTGTTACTATAAAATGACGGTTTTGGTTTCCTGTTGTTGTTGTGTAATGGTGGTTTTTTCACTCCCGTTGTTATTGTGCAACAATGGGTGGCAACCCCGTCGTTGAAGGCCAACTGATGACGGTTGGACACCATCGTACAAGTCTTCATGGTGGGTAATTAGTTACCCATCAACGATGTTGTTTTTCCTTCGTTGATATACTAAATACGGTTTACAATCTAGGTTCCTCTCAATGCATGGTTTGTAGAATTTAAAATTTAGATTGCTCTGAAATCATGTTAAAAGCTTCCTTCCACCATCCCCAAAGCTCCTAAATTATGTTAATATTTAAGGATAGTAAAGTTTTACTCTATCAATCCAAACAAAACGCTAGGGTTGGGCATGGACCTGTTCGAACCGCAAGTCTAACTAGCCCAGCCCGGTTTGGGTTGAAACCCAACCCGACCCACACTGGGGTAGACCCAACTGAGCTAAGGTTTAAAGCCAGACCCGAGACCAAAGAGGCAAGTCCCACCCATTATGGGCCCGACCCACCCGTGGCTCGACATAGCTCGACCTTGGTTAGTGATGAATATCTATTTTTTTTCAACATAATGGTTAACATATCTTTTTTCTCTTGTATTTAGATTTTTGCAATTTAAATATAAACATAATGACAATTATTAATTTCTTGTGGATGCAGGTCTTTCTCTAAAGTCCAAACCACGTATATCTTTCCGATATTTTTCTGTTTATCTTCGTGCATTGCATCCGTGTGTGTATCATCTCAATGCAGAGTTTGAAATAGGGAAAAAATAAATTAAATATAATTTTATAAATACAAACACAAGTTTATTATATTCTAAATAGAAAAAAATAAAAAAATTGAAAAAAGAAAGCCATGTGCCGACCCACTACCCATGGGCCGTGGGCGGGTTTCGGCCAGCCCCTGCCCATTG